GCCCTCAATTGCTTTCTTGACGTCTGGTTCTTACAATTTTCTTAGGTTGATCGTGGTTCTTCCCCTGTTCTTCTTTGTTTGTTTTACATTACTGATTCTGAAGGTACGTATCTCAGCTCTGTGGTCCGTGTCGATGACGTAGTTTGGGACCGCTCTAGAATCTTTGGTTGTGTGTCTTTGTTTTCTACACATCAGGATGAAATCAGTTTGTGATGCATGGTTCAAATCATTCCATCTGGTCTTGATTTGGCTTAATTTGTGTTGACAAAATGTGTTCGTAATCATCATGTCGTTCTCAGCGTATATATATTTAGTATCATTTCTCCATCGCTGTTGCAGTCTGTATCTTTATCACCGTGGGGTCCCAAAAACTCTCCCAGTGGGTTTATCTTTGTTCAACTCTGCCATTTAGATCTCCCAAAATAAATATACAGACCTGCCACTCATCCCGATTTAATCGGGATATCCCGATTTTTTGCCCCAAATTTCAACTATCCCGATTTTCCCGATTTCGATCGCCAGTATCTTGATTTTTTGTGGTTGCGTCCGATTCTTAGAAAAAAAATATAAAAAGTTCTGCAATCTCTTTTGCTTGGAAACACCGATTGAACTTTTTTATCTGCAGGAACTTGGAACGCTATTTTCTAAAGCATCTATGCCGAATCTAGATCTAGTAGATGATTAACGCACGTTATTTAAACTAAAATCGACCTAGTTTCAAACGCTCATTCGCATCATATGATGTGACCTCGTACGTATGGTGAGTAGCGCGTGTGTCGGGGACCGTCGGTTGTCGGGGTCAACGAAGTTCATTCACACCGGTCGCGTTGGTCAAGGTGTTTTTCGGGACTTAACCAGTGTGGACGGCCGGGGGGAGGGGGTAGGAGTATTGTTTTGACACTTGGGGTTAAAGTGCGTGCCGTGACACAGGTACTAATTAAGGGGAAAGGAATAAGGGGAAAAAATGAACAACCTTGGCGCGATCTTTTTTTCGATGTGATGGAAGTCAAACGTTGTTAAAACGCGGGCGTTTTGCGTGGATGATTAGAGTTACGTGTCAGCTATTTTCAAGACTACGAGTGTTTCAGCATCACTGCGACCTTCGCTCCCCCAGTCTATCCAACTTCGACTCGAGTACATATATGCTGTCTTTCAGTTTTCCCTCTATTTAGAGGCCCAAACGTGAACTTATTGCTGCAAAAGTTTTGCCTTGCATACTTGTCTCAAGGGAACCCCCCGCCTTCCCTAGTGCCCTTTATGGCTGATTTGCCGTTGATCCCGATTTTTTTCACCAGATCCTGATTTTTTAACTCAGAAATCCTGATTTTTAGATTTCATAGAGTGGCAGGTCTGAATATATCTTCTTTGTTCTTGATGGTGTTAATGTGGTCACTCAGATCTTGGAAATTATTATGATTGTCAATATTCCTCTGTTTAGCTGTCATTACCAGGAGCGTACTTTTGGATATACCTTCTTGTTTTGCCACCCTCTATGAGTTTTACGCTCACTTTTTTCTCTGAGATCTGATTGATTTCGTAGATTGTATCCATTTTGACTGGGTGTATGATGAAATCTACACCATGTTTGGCTCTCTCATTTTCAGGTGTTCCGCTCCAGATCACGAGGTAGCCTTTATGAGTTAGCTTGCTGTTGTTGCCTCTCTTCCTTATGTCTAACAAACCCATGATTGCTATTTTCTGTCTTTCCATGAAACTCGCTATTTCTGGTTCTTTGTCCCCAAGTCCGCTGACATTCCATGTGCCTATTTTAATCGTTGTTCTAGCTCGCTGTCCGTTTACTTTTCCAGGTCGTTTTCCATTTGAACCAGTCCGTGTTTTTGCTTTGTTTTTGGGGGGTTTATCCGTCGTCGGCTTGCTGGGCCAGTCACGGTTTCACCAGAGCCTCTTTAGCCAGCGATGTTTCGGGGTGACCCGGGTTGGTCTTCACTGCTAGCATGACACCTCAACGACATAAAGTCGTATACCTCAGAATTACAAAGTTCTATCAGACATTTTTTGACCGCTTTGAGTCACTAAGACCATGAGGTCAGAAAGCAGCAGATGCTGTATCTGCTCTATTAATTAAAGAATATTTATTCGGAGTCGTTATCAAGATATTCAAAGAATTGCATTTCGAAAAAGCCTGACATAAATATTGTGAAGCTAAAAAATGTTGACGTCAAATTTCTCAAAACTAGGCACTGAGCAGATAGAATGTGGGTAGTTGGCGGGTGCTCTGGTGTGGTTTGCTCCTTATTTCCTATCAAACATCTATCGTCCTTATCTCTCCTCCTTTTTTTGTGTATGATACTCTCTAGTAAAACATCTATACTTCGGCACTTGTATGACCTTATTGTGTTGCAAGTGCCGTAAAACTCTTACTAAAACTAAAACTAAAGCAGATAGAACTTTGTAATTCTGAGACAGCGAAGTCACACCGTACCTCAGCCAGACTCGGCTATCCCCTACTTTGTCCTGTTTCCACCTCCCCCGACGACGGGCACGAAAGCTAGGATTTGGGGAGATTACATTGTCATTTTGGATTAAACAGAATCCACAAACAATTGGACACAATTGGTCACTTTTAAGCACAAGGGGGGCATCCCGAAAAATGCTGTTTTGAGAAAATCGAAGGTAAAGTTTTTGCCCCTTATTCAATTTCTTTGAAAAACAAGGAGAGTTTTCCCTATAACCAAACAAATATACTCACCAATGGAACCAAACTTCTCCTATAAGTAGTTCAATTTCCACTTTTTGAGTAGGTCAAGATTTATGGAAACCCCCGAAATCTGGGTTAGCTCGCTTGTCCTTAAAAGCGACCAATTATGGGATCACTGAAAATTATTCATGAGAGGATTTTCTGTTCCCACAGAAAGCGTAAAAGTGAAAGGGTTGGCCATTTCGTTGACCATTCTTGCACAATTTTGAGGAAAAGTATAATGATTAGAACTATATTTTGCTTAGTTCACGAGGAATCGCACCAGTTGCCAGTTGTCACATCTCCACCACCACCACCACCACCATCATCATCATCGTCGTCGTCGTCGTCGTCGTCGT